TATGTTTGTTATTTGTAAAGCACTTTGGACCTCTGTGTTAAAAAGGTGCTATATAAATAAAGCTTTACTTAATTATTTACTTACTTACTTACCATCACATCTCCCTCAGTGAAAGAGAATTATCCCTTTACATGAGAAATATGAAATGTATAATCCAGTTCAGAATCATTAATAAACATCTTCTCCTCCAGTGTGGATCTTCTCTTGACCAAGGATCGCAGCCTAACGGTAACTCTTAAAGATTCAGTCAAGTTTGTCATCCTGCTGCACAAAGTGTGGAAGAAGCACCCATACCACCGGGACTACCTGGGTTTCTACACCCTGGACAGCCACCTCCTGTCCCCTTCTGTTCACGGCCTGCTAGGTACAACATGACACACACGTCAGAGAATAGACTGCATGGTTTAAGGTTTAATTAGCAGGTCTAAATAAGTGATATGACATTATAGCAGCTGTAATAAATATTTTTACAACATGGCATTACATGACAAAGTGAAAACAGTGTAAGAATGTGAAAGGGATCGCTTGTAGTGTTGAACCTACAGGGAATTATCACCTGAATCTGCTGGTCCCCTCGGCTTTATGGAGCTTTATGCTGAGTTTAAGCTAAAGGTTAGGCGTTCAGCTCACAACTTCACTGTTTTGGTTCATTGTCGCTGCTCTCGTGGTGTCGTTTTCAGATGCAGCAGACAGCTGTTTTCAGTTCAAAAGCACTATAAACCCAGTGTACACTACCTGCTCAGCAACCCTAATGGAAAGTGGAGCATTAAACAGCTAAAGAGCCAGATATTTCCTTCAGGGGTCGGTAAAGCTGAACTTTGAAAACTGGACACCGGAACCTTTAAGAGGGATACTTAAATCTTGACACAGCAGTATAACAGATATAATGAAGCTCAAATTGTTTCAGGGCATTTTGCAACTATCACATTCGAGAGACACAGGGCCAGAATGATTATATTTGTGGTCTTGGTTCATCCTCCAGGTCAGTTCTACCATGGGATTGAATATGAGGTGACAAACCTGCGTCCAGGTGAAGTCCCAGAGAAACCAGACGCCACCATGTTTGTGAAAGGACACGAGCTCAATGTGACCAGGTACACTATATTGCTCAGTGCATGTAATGTTAATTTAAATTAATATGTGTTCTTGATATATCATTTGGTCAACATGACATTTGTGTGTCTGTCCACAGAGGCTGGCAGAGAGACTTCAGGAGGGATGTGAAGAACGGAGACAATGTTCCCTGCTGGTTCATTCACAGTAATGGAACTGGCCTCCTTGATGGAGATGCAACAGACTACATTGTGTTGGGCCTTTTTAAAACTGTTTAAAAAGAGGTTACACATCAATGTCTACCACAGAAATCATTCAAATCAGAGTCATACAATAAATATTAAAATCTGCTAAAAACAGGCTTCATTCACAGCATTGTATGGAAAAGTTCACAGTTTCAGTCAATTGCATCAGTGCATAAGAATTATTAGTTACACTATTCCAGAATAATGAGAAGTGCTGGAGGACAGCTTCAGCAATCTTGTCAGGAGCTACACTGATGAAAAGGTCTGTTACAGTTCATGTGAAGACTACTGTAATCCTGAACTAAATGATACCAAATAAATGCTAAAGAGTGGTGACAAATTAGTGAAACTGTTTCTTTATGGTCAGAGTGATTATTGTTATACTTCAGGAAATATCAACACTTAACAGTGATTGATATTGGTTTAATGACCTTATTCACAATTCGGAATGTGGAGAAAAAATAAATACAGACGGGTGACAAATTAAAGGAAAAACCTGAATGAATGAGTGGACGAACATGACAAATGCATGTGCTTTCATACAGGACATGATGACATGGTTTTTGAATGATTGATGAGAATGAAAATCCCATGATTTATATAACCTCACTGCACTTGCATGTGGAAAACACAGACACACACCAACACACACACACACACACACACACACACGAGTACACCTTGAAATCTAACGACAGATAGACAGATCGGGAATAGATGACAATAACATGAGTTGATCACACATAATGTGGGTGGAGTATAACTCTTGTGGGAAGACTTCCCACATGCCTCGACTTCTGTCCACACTTGTTTTCAGCCATGCAGGAGAAATGGCGCTTCTGTTTCCTAGGCATGTCAACAGTGTGGAGAGTCATGCTGCTGTGGGTCTGCGTCTGCCTCTGGCTTCCAGCTCAGGCCCAGGGGGCTCTGGTTGTTTCCTGCAGAGAGGCTGCAACACAGGTATTTACAATAAGCTGAATGTAAACAAATGTCTGCTTTTTTCTATGTTCAGCTTACACCTCATTAGTGGTACTGTTTATAAATGTTGGCATACTTTGTAAGAGTTGATCTTTCCACTGAAACATCTACAGGCACACCAGGAAGTGATGTACTTTGCATGTCTGACACCAGCAACAGTGTTAAAGATTTGATTAGATTCCATAAATACCAAGGCTGTGCCAGAAAAGTGCCACATAAAATGAAATACCAAAGCAGTGGTGGCCCTGTCATCTCCAAAGATACATACTGTCTTTTTCACTTATATTTCTTTTAGATGTGTGTCTTAAATTCTCACAGCAGTCAAGTCAAAGTCAAGTCATAAATCCTAATTTTTGTGACTGAAGCATTGTGAGACGGGTCTAGTAATAGTGGTCTTGGTTGTGGTTCGTGTCCAACTGTTTGCCATCAGTTTTTAAGAGTCTGATGTTTGCAATGAATTCCTGGATGTAAAGCTAAAAATATATGCAAGAAAAAAAGACATGCCATCACCTCTCCTCATCTATTCGTGCCATTATGTTATGACTTTTTATTACTTTATTGAAAAAGAGTGCAGCTGTCACACTATGAAAATTTGGTCCTAATGATAATGAGATCTAGTCACACCCTTTTGGGTTGACGACTTAAGACTTCACCACTGTTTTTTCATGATTTTGAAATTCTGTCAGGCCAAAATTACACTGGGTAGATGCCTTTAGGCCTGACTCAAGTCCAACTATCAAGTTTAAAGTTCAGTTTGCCTCTGCCTTCCTTTCTTCCTTTCCTCTCGTGGTCTCCCACCCACGCATCTGTTTGTTTAACTAAACATGGCCTCTCCTCTCAGAACTTGTCATAACTCAGCCTCCACTAGTTGCTCCCATTGAGTAGATATAAAGCCTAGTTCACCACTCCAGTATGCCAGATTGTCAGTGTTGCTTCCCAGCCTACCCTGTCTGTGGTTGGCTGTTTATTCGTGCCAGCTTGTTTGTTGTGTGACCTTTTCCCACACCTGCATTAAGTCCTTTGTCTGGTTCTGGGGTCACACCTTGCTTTCCAGAGATGTCACTGCAATGCTTACTTAATATTCTTAAAAAACTTTCTCTAAAAGACATTTTATTAAACATGGAGGTGGCAGCTTAAATGAAAAAGCATGGATACTTCAGATAGGGACTTCAAATGCATCGTTGGTAAGTTGTTGGTGCTTTTGGGATATTTTCCACTGGACTCTGGGTGTCAAGCTCATTATGTTTCCAAACATCTATTTAGGTTTAAGTTTGGTGTCAGTCCTACTATTATTCACACAACTACAGCCTGAGCACAGATATTCTATTTGAGCTTTTATAAGCACCAATGTTTGCCCCAGGGCCTCCTGTACATTGAGCTCAGGCCTGTTGGTCAATAATCCAAGGCAACACACACACTTTTTGTCCCTCCCCCTGGGCAGACAACTTTCTTTCTCAGTAGTGAAGTCAGTCACTGTTCAGCAGAAGTTTGGTCATGTCTGGACTGCTGGGTGTTCGACTGTTGCTGCTGTGGGGCAGTGCCTGCCTCTGGCTGCCCGGCCTGGCCCGGGGGGCTCTGTTCATCTCCGGGGCCCATGAAGCTCTGCAGGTAACACACTGACTTTTTATACTCTGATCATAATTTGAATCATTTTATAGATTAAGTTTAATTTTGCGATGTGGTGGCTCCTGATCTGTTTACTTATGAATAATCTCTGGAACACAAACTGTACTCCTTCGGTCCTACTTTGCATATTAAACCCTACTCAGTTTTACTGTTATATCTCTCCTTCCAATTTCTCCTCTTTGTGACACAGAATATAAGGTTTTTCTTACAAGCTACCTCATGTAATGTCAGTGTTTGTTTCTAATATCTTGGCATCGTGTTGGTTCACTCTGCTCTATTTGTATTTCAGGAGATAAGAGGAGCTGCCAGATCACTGCAGGTATTTGAGAGAAACTATTCGGAGACAGACAGTCCTTTCATATTATGGTGAAATATTTGCAGCTTGTAGTCACTGATAAATAACGTAACTGAATCATAATTACATAACTTAACCATTACAATTAAATAAATATGGCTATATTTAAAGAGTTAATAACATTAAGTAACAGTGGTAGTTGAAATTATCAACGTTGTCTTAAATTTTGATTTGATTGATCTAAAAAGATAATTAAACATCTAAATTCTAAAGCCCCTTTTTATTTTGCTTTTTGCGGCAGAAACGAAGTACACAACTGCGGTCCACGGTAAAAAATAATCTGTCTGATGATGAGAAAGGATAATAATCCAAGTTTCAATCACAAACTTAGACAGCAAATAAGAATCAAGAAAGAAACAATCTAACTCAGCTCTTAAAGCAGACGCAACAGCTGAAAATAAGCTAACTGACTGAAACAAGATTTAGTTTCAAATACATCCACACTATCCTTCTTTAGAGCAACCAGCACCCAGGTGGAACTCCCACCCCCATTTCAACATAACACTCCCAAACGCGGAATCCAAGTGACATACATGTTCTTTAAACATTTCTTTTCAAGCTGTTTTTTTTAAGCTGTTTCTTCATACCGTAAATGAATGGCGAATGTAAGGCCTTGTATACGAGACTTCTCATACTCATCTCAGAAGTTCTAAAAATTTCCAATCTCTCTCCTCCTTCTCCTCGGCTTCCAGTGGAGGTTACAGTGTGACAGTGGAACTGCCATGTTGCACGTCCCGTTTCGCTCACCCACCCGTCCTAATGACTCCAAGGCTACTGCAACAAAAGCAAACACCCTCCCCGGAAATCTTCTTGAAAAGGAGCTGCCCAAGACCGCCTCTCCACCAAACTTCAGCATGTCAGTGGTGCTCTCCACTCAGATGATTACCTGTTCCTAACTTGCATTGTGAACATTTGTGTGTGACAAGAATTTTTCCCTGCCTCTGTTCCCAGTTTTGATTTTTCATACACAATAGAATTTGACCAGTTCCTTATATTTCCCTGATGTCCATCTCCTCCATCTTCATAGCTCAAACGGGAATTGACGGCAGCGTGTATTTGGCGAGTGAGGAAAAGAGAAAGCCAAGAAAGAGATAGAAGCACAGCTGTTTCCTCCTGACAGAGCTGCGTGGACTGGATCAAGCTGACGTAATGACTGGAAACTTAAGGAAAAACCTAGTATCCACCTGTAACGAACAGACAACATAAAATATCAACATTCTGTAACTATCCTTCCATTAGCAGGCTGCAGCTTGAAGCTCTGGTTTTTTTAACCAGGGGCGCTTCCCGAAGGAAGACTGGAGAAGTTTTAGTGTCTGTGTATCACATTGCAAGCCAAAAAGTAATTTGCGACTTTCGAATTCTGGACCATACGAGGAGCTCCCTTCCAGGCAAACCAGGGCCAGTATGAGCTTCTGAACCCGAGGTTACAACCCAAACAAGCAGTGCAGAGTTTTCAGGGAAATCAACTGTTCCTGTCAAATCCTGCCTTCTTGAGTGATTTCAGCATATCCAAATATTGTACTGAAACAATATGACTCTCTGTCCTGGTGTGTTCACGCTGCTGTCGGAGACAAGATTGCTGACAAACTCATGGAGAGTCAGCGGCATTTCCCTATGTGTCGATGCCATGGCAACACTTTCCCTCTCCAACGAGCTGCCTCCCCTCCTGGTGGAGAAAAGACTGTCACTCGACAACAAGGCTTCACGATACACCACGGGCCCCCCTTGTCTGGTTCCTTTCTTATCCCTCTTAACAGTAAAAGACTGACCCCAGATTAAGAGTATTCGAACGCGTCATTCGTCATCCATTGTCAGCACAACATCTCTATTCCTCACCGACCTTGGAGGCAGCAGAGGAACCGTGCGAGTTGGTGAATGCGACCACGTCCATGACCTGGCAGATTTTCATCCACTCAATATGACGTGAACCGAGTACAAGACTCGGGGGGACACTTCAGCGTTCACACTCAAACAAATACTCACTCAGTATCCTGCTAAATTGCATTTAAATCCCAGTGTTAAAACGTATAACACGGAAATACTTTACATAACGACTAATCTAAAACAAAATTTTGATCATCTGTAATTAGATAGACCCGAGAACGAAACAAAGAATCACATATTATACAGGGAAACAACCACTCTTGCCATTCTACATTTTTGCCTTTATTCTTACAGTATGTACTGCTCTTATGATATCTCCCTCAGATTGTTGAACTGGGAATACTTTGTGCAGCTTCTTTGCTCCACCCTGACCTGCACAGAGTCCCCAAAGCAATGTGGCTTGTGATTGGACACAGCGAATCCATGAGGAAAGAAAGATGGTCACAGGATGACGAAGCCTGTGTCAAACTGTTTAAAGATTCTAATCATACTGAGATGCCCATCATTTTGACTCCTCAACCTTGGGTAACTCCTTCGTTACGTAGACACCGGAGCAATGTATGGCTACTCTCAAAGATCTCCATGAGAACACTTTGCCCTCATCCAAATTTCGATCACAAGAATGTTCCTGCAGAAATCACCTCCACAAAGCCACTAAGAAAATGTGGACTCAAGCCATGAACTTACTGTCCGACGTAGATTCTATTGGAGGTAATAGAAAACTGTGACACTCACATTGCAAAAAGTCTGACCTCAACGCCTAAAATGAATAGAAAATACACCCATCAACATTACACACGTGGTGTGCGTTCCTTCTAGGGACTGATATCAATCAAGCAGTGTTGACAGGCGTGGACATGCTGGTCAAAGACAGGAGGGAGAAGAAGCTTCCAGAGAGGAGCGTTGATATGATTATTTTATTGACTGATGGAATGCCAAATTCGGGTGAGAAAGCAACGTGTGTCCACCCAACACTGTATATTTGTGTGGGTGCTCATTTGATTGATGAACATTACATTCCTGCATATTGTATCTGTGTGTTTAAAGGAGAGTCTCATCTCCCGAGGATCCAAGAAAATGTGCGTTCTGCTATTGGAGGAAACATGTCTCTGTTCTGTCTTGGATTCGGAAATAATGTGGATTACTCTTTCCTGGATGTGATGAGCAAACAGAACAAAGGAGTGGCCCGCAGAATTTTTGAGGGTTCAGATGCAACACTTCAACTTCAGGTGAATGATCTAGGCCATGAATACATTTTGGAGCCAATTTTTGGATTCTTGTTCAAAACTGTGTCACATTCCTCCACAATAAGTAATCACGGTGCTTTTATTCCAGGGTTTCTATGATGAGGTGTCCAGTCCTCTGCTTTCAGACGTGGACTTGCGTTATCCTGACAATGCAGTGGAATCGCTGACCACCAACCACTTTAACCAGTTGTTTAACGGCTCAGAGATCGTGGTGGCCGGTCGGCTGATGGACAACGACCTGGACAACTTCCTGGTGGAAGTGTTCAGCCAGGGGGTGAGGAGAAGAAAATGGCATAAACTTAGAGACAATGCTGAGAGAAAACGTGTTTATTTCTGCTACTTTTCTCTCCCCTGTAGTTTGAGGAGGACTTCAATGTGCAGGGCCAGGCCAGTGCTGTGGACTGGGGCGTGATGTACCCTGATGAAGAGTATATCTTTGGGGATTTCACAGAGCGTCTGTGGGCCTACCTCACCATCCAGCAGCTACTGGAGAAGAGGTCAGTTTGGGTAATTTCACTCTGCTTTAGCCAAGAAATATTTATTTCCCATTGGTCTTGTGAAAATCTTTGTTAATGATATTTTGGGCATTGTCTGAGAGCCCATTATAAATCTTGTAGTATTAATTTATAGGTTATGTTGGGTTTCTCAATGTCAGTGTCATATGTGGCAATTTAAGTATATTGTTTTTCATGCAGCAAAAGTGGTGCCACGGACGAGAAAGCCAACGCCACAGCCAAGGCCCTGGAAATGTCTCTGCATTACAGCTTTGTCACCCCACTCACTTCGATGGTGGTCACCAAGCCTGAAACTGAGGACGGCACAGAGACCCCTCTCATTGCTGACAAGCTGACTGAGGGTAAGGGATGGAAAGAGAGGGTTTAAAAAGTGATACTAAACTTTTTCTTCATAAGCAGAAGTTACTGTTGAATTCATTTTTTCTCAGCTATGCCAGCAGAGGCTGGTGCTCCAGTTTAAACTGGAATTGACCATGTTGTTTTTGTCCATCTGTTTTTTGACAGAGCAAAGACAACAGGCAGAAAGACACAGTATGTTTTTTAACCATATATCATTAAAAAATCATTCTGAGATTAAATCAATTCACTGCAATTATTTTAACTTGAATTTTATTCTTCCTGTGTGTAGTACATCGAAATTTACCTCTAACCCCCGTAAGACATACTTATTCGTCAGCAGCACCAACATATTTTGGTGAGTATATCTTTAATGCTTGCTGTCTGACAATATCTGTCATGTCCATCACAACAACTGTTAGATACATTTCTAAGAAATTTTCTACAGTCCTAATGACTTGACTGATCACTTACTTTTCATTTAGCACCAACAGCAGGTACAAATCTTTTCCTATGCAGCGAAATATCTCAACATTCACTATATAGATTGTCACAAATGTTTGGACAGTTATTCATGGTCCTCACACTCCCACAGACTCCCACTCAATTTTGGTGGTAGCAAATGTTAACAGGCTAACACACTGAACTGTCATTGGTTAACACCGTCATTGAGGACATGTTAGCATTCTGACATTAGTGTTTAGTACGCCTTACAGAGCTGCTAGCATGACTGTAGACTCTTGGTGTTGTTGAAATGTTGTCATCAGCATGTTGAGCTAATACTATGATTTTACTCTGATGTCACCTGCAGTGGACGGAGATCCTCATTTCATGATCGAGTTGCCAGACAGAGATGACGCTCTGTGCTTCAATGTCAACAACAAACCAGGAACCATTTTCAACCTGGTCAGAGACCCAAATTCAGGTTAGCCCCAAGTCCTAAGATGCGGCTCCTTGTGTATTTTTTCCCCCTTTTAACTACACATGTAGACCTATTACTCCACGTCGTTAGTTTGTGACTGAATCCCATGTTGTTTCCTCAGGTATTTTGGTGAATGGCCAGATTATCGGAGACAAGAAGATTCCCCCTGATGGTAAAATCAACACCTACTTTTGGCGTTTTGGCATCATCCACCAGACTCTGGGGGTGAAGCTGGAGGTGGACACTCAGGTCATCTCTGTGTTCCAGGACGGCAAATGGGTCAAGCTGCTGTGGTCTGATGCAGCTTCTCTCAAGGGACTCAAGTGAGTGGTGGCATTTCTGGTACAGCCTCAAATGGTTTCATTGCTATTTGACTAATAGAGTCTTTAATGTCTGCATAAATAATCATGTTTCCTCCTCTGCTCCCCTGCTGTGTGGTGTCCCTCAGGGGTCGGTTCTTGGTCCAGTTCTGTTCTCCCTGTACATGCTTCCTCTGGGTCATTTGTTCAGCCGCTTCCATGACATGTCATACACCTGTTATGCAGATGATACACAGATCTACTTTTCTGCGAGATAACCCAATAAACCTGAAATCAATTGTCCCGTCTCCCATGAGTTTGTTTAGCTGCCATCCAAAGACTGGAATGTCTCTTAACTTTCTCCCACCTAAATCCTGACAAAACTGAAATTAATTTTATTGTTGGCCTGATAGAATTTGTCAACTGCAATTGATCAGTTTAATTGGTCCACGTACGCAATATACTCAAACCCACTGCTTAAGAATCTGGGTATCATCTTTGACCAGCATAGGCAAATGGTAAATGGTAAATGGACCTGTACTTGTATAGCGCCTTTCTAGTCTTCCGACCACTCAAAGCGCTTTACACTACAATGCACATTCACCTTTCACACACATTCACACAGCCGATGGCAAAGTCCATCGAACCAGAAACTAACTCAATTTATACACATCACACACCGATGCTAGCATCGGAGCAATTTGGGGTTCAGTAATCTGCTCCAAGGATACTTCGACACGTGGCCAGGAGGAGCCGGGGATCGAACCAACAACCTTCTGACAAGTGGACGACTCGCTCTGCTCAGCAACCACAGCCGCCCTATATGAAATTGACCTTCAGTCACAAAAACACTTGTCCAGTCCTGTTTCTGCAGCTACGACATGTTAGCAAAAATCAAAAGGATCTTGTCCCCAGTGATCTTGAACAATTAAATTCACAGCTTCATTTTCTCCCGTCAGATTACCGCTAACTCCCTCTAAACGTGCTCAGCCAATAGGCTCGTTAATCGATTACAGTTAGTCCAAAATGCAGCTGCCAGACTTTTAAACCAGAAACAGCCGTCGGTCCACATTACTAAACTGTTTCTTGCATCCCTTCATTGGCTTCCTGTAAAATTCTGAATCAACTATAAGATCTTACTGATTACATATAAGACACTTCATGACCTTTTCCATTTTCCCATTCACATTTTAGATCTTTTTGTTCCTCATTCCACTCCTCGGCCACTTCTCTCCTCAAATCTCGGCCTTTTATCCATTCCTCGCTCTAACTGTAAAAATAAAGGTGACTGTGCCTTTGCTGTTTTAGCCCCAGCATTGTGGAATAGTCTTCCCAAATCACTCAGATTCACTGAATCGTGGACAGTTTTAAGCCGTCTGCTTCAAAACCCACCTCTACAGGGAAGCTTTTTATAGATATCCTTGTTTGGTTTTCTCATTCTGCGTGTTCTCTTTTTAATTTATCCCTCCCTTTTTTATTTTTTTCCTTCCTTGTTTTTTTACATGCTACTTAGTTTGTTTTTCTTGTTGTTGTTCATGTTTATTTATTGTTGCTTTGGCAAAGCCTTTGGATCTCTGTTCAAAATAGGTGCTTATATAAATAAAGTTTTTTTACTACTTACTTACTTACACTGGACCTTTAATCAACAATTTTTTATCATTTAATTATGTGCGTGTTCCTGCAAGTAGTGATAATTAAGATTAAGGCAGGGTTAAGTGTAATCAGTCGATGGCTCTCCACAAATGTAATAAACCTTGTGTGTGCGTGTGTGTGTGTGTGTGTGTGTGTGTGTGTGTGTGTGTAAGGTCACATGGCAGGACTGCTGCTGCTCCAGGCTGCTATGTTTACCAACAAGAAGAGGAGGTCATAGTGTAGTATGCACTCCACCATGGGAGTCTCTCTACTTGACAGCCAGTAGCAGCCTGCAGCATCCAGCAGCAGTTACATTTATCTCAGTGAAGGGACTGATCTTTAGCCTGGATGGTTCTGTTACACTGCTGTTTAGGGGGTAAGATTGATCACTTGTGAAATATACATTGTGCAGTTTGTGTAATTTATTTTTTTCTGTGACAGCAAGAATAAGATTTAAAGGCTGGCTGTTGCCTTGCAAAATGAATGAATTACTGTTTTAGCAAGGAGTTTCTCATCTATGGATTTATTTTGTTGTCAGTGTTGGGCTGTGTGTGTGGTAAGAAGTTCAAGTTAAAGATGGGATTATATTGTCGTTTTGTTTCTGTCTTTGTTAACCTAGCATTTTGTGAGCATTAAACAGATGTGTGTATGGAGTACTGTGTGTCTATACAGGTGTGCGTCTTTATTAGACTTTCTGTCTGAATGTACGTGTACGTGTTTGCCCCTACAAGCAGTGTATGCCACTGATAAAGCACACAATGACGCATCCGTAAACCAGAGGCAGAGACACAGTGACCCATTGTGGAGGCAGAAAAGCACAAGTCATGCTAAAGGGCACAGCTGACTGTAACATGCACAGCTGAGCTGTGAAATCAAAAGGATGAATAACATAAGAATGTGTAAGTGTGTGTATCCTGTAGCAATTGACATATAATGCAATAATGTTTGACCTACCGTGAAAGCAGCACAATGTCTACACAGACAACGTGAGAGAGAACACTTTTAGAGAACACTATTTTAGCATAGAGAACAAATGATTCTTATCCCAAGAACAAGCTTGAACAAGGAATCAGCTATGTTATTCTCAATTTCACTAGATTTAGATGTGTGATAGGAACAGGTAGTTACTGCTGTTATAGTCCTTTATGAAATACTAGTGCAGTGCAAGTTCAAAATGTGTCTGTTTTGAATGAGCTGATTACTTAGCCTCCAGTATTCCTTAAAGGTTGAGCAAAGTTACTGTAAGTAAAACTTAAAAAAACGTTGCTTGTGCAAGTTGCTTCTCTTCCCATGGAAAAACTACGGACCACACTGCAATTGCAACCAACATTGTCGTCAGAGGGTGTATTGTCTTAAAATTCTGTCATGGCATGTCATGTCAGGATTCAACAATTATGATCCCACTTAGCATCTATGTTTATTAAGCAGCCCACACCATCCGCCCTTTTTACCACCGCAATGTCACTGCCATGTCAAGGCAGGAAGTTTTTTCCTTACAAGACTAGGTTGCTAATTTTAGGCTGAGCAATCTTATATGGCAATACCTATCAGCATACAAAGACATACTGAAAAAAATATCAAAATATCCACATTTGTTTTCCCTACAGTATCCTTTGATAGTTGCTGGTGTGAGTCTGTGGATAGATGATGAATGTTTTGGTACAACAATTTCTGTTATCAGGTCATGTGTAAGGCACACACATCCTCTAGCCCACTGTGACCCTGCACATGATAAGCAGGTATAAATAATAGACGGATGGAATCTATTTGGTGCTAACTCTATGCTCTTGAAAACAATATCCAAAAGCACTGCATATCAAACTCACATATTTACATGACTACTTTTATTGCTATAGGGTCATGAGAAATATAGTACCTTAAACAAAGTCACATGTCAGAAAAGGCTACAACCCTGCTCCTTTAAAGACCAACATGCTATTATTCATGTCACCTGGTTAAACAAGTATTTTAAAAGGATGTGGGCCGTAGATTCACCAAGGCAATGCCATCATAGAGACAAATCCCTGACAAGCACCTAACAATGCCAGTCATTAACATTATAACAGAGAAAAAGTCCTTCTCACAGTAGACTGAATCTGTTACATACTGTATACTCCAAAATCCTCTAGCTAATGTATAACCTGGTGTCAAGATGCAGGATATGCACAATAAATCAGCTGTCTTAACAACCTTGTATAGCTCATAGTCGTACTATGGACTTCTAGTCAGCAGTAAATTCAACTGATTGATTGTTGAGATGGAATTTGTGAGTGTGGTCAAAGCCAGTAACTTCCTACAGGGTTTGTACCCCTGTCATAACTGTATATCTAATTGTATGTCAGCTGGGATGTCTTCCACCATTTTCAGAACTGGTCAAGGCTTTTTTCAATCATTACTATTATAGATATAATAGACAGACTTGTATCATTGTTATATTATTATGTTATTTTAACTGTTGTGTTTCTTGCCTTGCAGGTGCCACATATAAGTTGTAAACACTCCATGTATTCATAGAAAGAATACAGGGTCAAGAGCGAACCTTTCAAAATTACTAAACCAATTAAGGTAGTGTTTTCATACTTGAAAGAGCTGTGTCTCTGTTGTCAAGCATCGGCTGTCTATATTGGGTTGATATGTGAATGGGTGAATGCGTCATGTAGTGTAAGTGCTTTGAGTGGTTGGAAGACTAGAAAGGCACTACACAAGTATAGTACAGCCTATTACCATTTTCTTGATGTGTAGGAAAATACATGTGCACACATCTATATAACTGTCTACGTATTTTATCAACATTTTAACATGACAAAGTGTCAATCACAGTTTTCTTAGGCGACGTCTTCAAATCAGTGATCAGTAAATCGATTCAGTGATATGAAATTAAGAAAAGCAAATCCTCACATTGGAGAAGCTGGAAGAAGATAATGATTAGCACCTCAGCTTAAAAATGATCGATTGATTCGAAATTGCTATCAAAATAGATGCAGGTTTATTATTATTAATTGTTTGAGCTGTGTTATAAGTATGACATTAACAATGGTTATTCCTCAATAATGAGTACTTTAAGTACATTAAACTAGGAATATATAGATTGTTGTCTTGCACAAAGGATGGGAGTACTTCTTCCACTACAGTTTGTGGAGAGTGTGAGTAGAAAGAGGACTCATTTCAAAGTCTGTCATGGTGCTTGGAGGGTCAACAGGTTGGCGTGGCAAGTATGTCAGCAGCAGTCCTTTTGCTTTCTATTTTGGTTAGCCAGCTGTATAATGACACACTACTGAAGACAGCATGGCCAGTGCACTGTGGCTGAGAGTAAGATAGAGTTGAGCTTTAGTTAAGCTTTATTTATTCAGAAAATCTCATTGAGATCAAGATCTCTTTAAATACTTGACGTTTCAAATGTATTTATTGTGATGAATACTTTGAGATACACCTTCTCGTTTTTGAGGGGGTCCTAACACATATCACAATTACAACAAAACAAGAGAGCAATGACAAAATAAATAAAAATAGAAATCAATACGACAACATAGACAGACAACAAAACAACAAAAAACAAAGACTAACAGTGTCCTCTCTTTGCGTTACCATCAAGCACTCATTCCTGTAGCTGCCAGTACTTTCTCAAAGGATGCTGATTGGTTCCTGTTACCA